GAAAAATTTTAACGAAAGACAAACAATAAAAATAAGGATCTTTATAGGAAGAAACGTATTCACCCAAAGTATAGTTACTACTACTGCAACTCGAAGATAACGAGGGTGGCAAATAATCAAGATTGAATTCTTCTACGATGATAAAATAATCGTGAAAAATTTTAACGATAGACAAAAAAGAATAAGAAGGAACTCTATAGGATGAACAAACGTTTTAAACACTCTAAGCATATAACTATTACTATTACTACTACTCGAACATAACGAGGATGGCAAATAATCACAAACGAATTTTTCTACGATGATAAAAATTGTATCTAAAGACAAAAATAAAAAGAATGAATTCTATACGACGAACAAACATTTTAAACACCCTAAAAACATAGTACTACTACTACTATAACGAAGAAAAAACGAGGGCGGCAAATAATCAAGAGTGGGTCGAGGTTGACACTTAAAACCGTAAGAAGCCTCCCGTTATTTCGCGAATGTACTATATATCACTCAAAGAAAGAACGAACCCGTGTCAAGGTTGACTCCCCCTACTCCCCCACCCCAAGCAAGTTAAGAACTGGACTTTCCTTCCACCCCCTTCTTGACCATCGTACCCTCACAGTCTCTTAAGCAGAGTTTCTGTTCTTTTTCTTTTCATTTTCGAAAGTTTGAATAACCGATGCGTAGGAGTAAGTTGCTAGTAAAACAAAAACAAAAGAAGAACAAAAAAAAAGAAAATCAGTTTTATCGTCGTTCGTGATTGCGTGTGTCCATGTCCGTGTTAGTGTCAGTGTTAAAGTGTTAGTGTCTCTGTGTCGTCATCGTCTCATGTTTATTCGCAAAGCACGACCGGAAGTACTCGTTTCTCATCGGCCGCGACCTCGTTGTTGTTGCTGTTGCCTTCCACGACGCGACCCCATAGTATAAAACATACAACATAAAACATATGCGAGTCGCCTTTAGCCCACTTATTCGTCGACCAGACCAGAACAGACCAGACCAGACCAGACGACGACGATCCCACGTGAAAAATTCCAGGTCGGTGTGCTGCTTCCTTGGTTCTTCGGTACTTCGAAAATAATTCATCGATAAAATGATCCTCGATTAATCCTAAAACGTGATTAACACTAAACTACTTCTTCTGATGCTAAACCTAATACGTATTTCGATCAAATTGTTTGTGTCTAATATAAATTCGTAAAAAAAAACAAACAAAAATGCAATTTAAGGGGCACACCTAGTGTGAAATTTGGAAAAAATTTATTATTTTTGTTTGCATATTTTGATAGTCTATATCTTTCAAAATAACTTACTGAAATTTTAAATAAATATTTTAAATAGTTTTAGAGTTACAGTCTTCTAAAGAGTAGCCGCTCAGGGATTAGGAAACAATTATGTTATCTTTGAACGCGTTTTTCTTAAAACTACATTTTTCAGATTGGCTGTAGTTGTAACTCGAAGAAAAATCATTCGATCGTTTTAATTTTTTTTTTTTTTAAATTATATTCTTTAATTATGTATAAATATATCCTCTAAATTTATTATAATATTTCATGCAGTAGTTTTCATGAAAAAAAATTCCCAAAAATCACCATTTGTTTAGGCGGTCACACTAGGTAGGTGTGCCCCTTAAAACACGTTTAATTTATATTAATCATACTATGTAAATATAAACAATAATATATATTTTTCATTATACATACACACCATTGATTACAAATATTATATTCTATATTCAAATAAATCATTTTGATTATACAAATATACATATGAATAACCCTATTGTCGAAAAGTGTTCGAAAAGTTATAGTAGAATAACGTTTTTTTTAAAAATTGACTCTATTTATAAGATAGTGAAAACTTATGACTGTAATAAAAATGATGTTATATTGACTTATGAACATAACTATCAAGTTGCTGAGGAAGTCTCAAATAGAGACGAAACGTTHAACGGATAAATATWGTGTTCATCTTAATTAAACCCGTCCAAAAAACAACTTCCCTAAGAGTAAACTTCGTAATAATATTAATAGATTTTGGATAAGAAAAAAAATCTTGATTATATTAACCTATCGTTAAAGTTTCTATCGTTAATAAAATTTCTCTATTTATCTAATACCAAAAAAATGGTTCAATAAAAAGAATTCTTTTGAACGAGACGCGAATTAAATCGTAATTTGAAGTAAAACATTTTAACAAATGCTCAGCAACTAACAGCTGTTTAACAACGCTTCCGAACGATACCTATAATTTTCTTCCCCTTCCCTTTAACTCCCACTTTTTTCAGCTACGTGCACGAAATAGCGAAACGTTTAAAAGACTGCAATTTCGGAATTCCTGACTCGAGCAATGGCAAACAGTAGTAAAATATCTAACATCATAGATAGTTATAGAATGATATCGGTAACGATTTATCAAACAAGAACGACAGATCAGCCAAAGAGACCATGCCCACCGCATTGCTACTTGCCAATTTCCCCCCTCATCCTCCTCCTCCCTCCTCCCTCCTCCTTTCCCTCTTTCCCTCTTCACACTCACCCCTTTGAAGAATATCAGATGCACGTGGTGGCGGTTACGATCTCGAGAAAACAACGTCGTCGTTGATAGTTGTCATAGTCGTTAACTGCACTTTACATTACGTGCATATACTTACGCGTTTACATAGATACACATATATACACACACATATATTTTAAATATCTAACAAAATTACACCGTAACTTTAATCGCGCGCGCGAATTGCGCAAATGTACAGTTCGTTCGATCGTTAAGAAATATATTTTGTCACGTACACATAACCATCCGATGCACGTCAAACTTTATTTCTTTTCTCTCTCTCTCTCTCTCTCTCTCTCTCTCTCTCTCTCACTCTCATTTTTTATTTTATTTTCTGATAAATAACGTTACCACGAATAATGTATCTATCCATTGCCAATCATCATGGCCAAAAATTTCATCGGAATTAACGATTACGTACTTTTCTTTTTTTTTTTATATATATTTCGGTATTATAGGCTACTCTTTTTTTTTTATCATGGTGGTAGTAAGTATATAAGTGTAACAATACCTTTTATACCACGCGATTATTATTATATTTTTTGTTTTAAATGTTTTTAAATGAAACAAAGAGAAGCCACGTGCGACTCGTCCCCAAGGAAGATATTATTTTTTTATCCTTTTTTTTTTTGTTTAAAATGATTAAAATGTAAATTGAAAATCAAAGGTGGGAGGAAGAGATAGTAAAATAATACGAACCATCTTCAAGGTTTCTTCCGGTCTCAAAAGATAAAACATGGACTGCAAATGTTGCTGAATATCGCATCCTGCAGCGGATACTCTCCTCGAGGGTCGGGCCCTTTCGTTCGGTGGTAAAACTAGGGCCGCACCTTTCCCTGCGAAGTAACATTCGCTCAGGCTGTAACAGAAAAAGTAAGAACGACATTTGTCAATGGAATAAACAAATGAAAGAACACAAAATTAGAAATAAATTTAATCAAGATTTTTTCGAATCACTTTATATATAAAAATATTATATATTTTTTATATATTTATATATAATTTTTTTATATAAATATAATATAGTATTTGGAGTATTGTATAATATTAGGTATATAGTATTATCTAGTAGTATTATATATAGTATAGTATCATTTGTC